AGGGTGCATCACTGCCCCCCCACTCCAATCCACCCGTAGCTCCAATGCTCCCATTTGCCTAGAGAGCCTAATTCGAACTACCTATTCTGTGCCGCATGTAGCTGCGGGCACAGAGTCCGCACTAAGGGGGATTTAAAAATGGCGGTGCCCGGCAAGATGCAAATGAAGCCCGGGATATTTAAATCCCGGACTTCATTTGCAAGGTGCATCACTGCCCCCCCACTCCAATCCACCCGTAGCTCCAATGCTCCCATTTGCCTAGAGAGCCTAATTCGAACTACCTATTCTGTGCCGCATGTAGCTGCGGGCACAGAGTCCGCACTAAGGGGGATTTAAAAATGGCGGTGCCCGGCAAGATGCAAATGAAGCCCGGGATATTTAAATCCCGGACTTCATTTGCAACTTCGAATGCCTCTAGTTCAAACTAGAGTGGCAGTGTAGACATACCCTTGGAGAGAGCAGGCCACTTTCTTCCAGTCCACTTTCTTCCACTTTCTCTGATTTGGACGTGCCGATTCTCATCCGTCTCAGTCTGTGTAATAACCACGTGGCACCATTAAATAGTACCCAGCTCTTCTGTGACCCCTTCCCCTGCAGGATCTCAAAGCCCCATGGTAGCAATGCTGACCGTATTACCACGCCTGCTTTCCATATGGGCAAATGCGGCTAGTGATGTACTTAGAGTCAGAATCAGAACCCAGATCCCCACACCCAGGTTCGGGCTTTGCTCACAAGATTGTCCATCTGTCTCCAAGCGGCAGGTGGCTAAAATCAAAGAGATGGTAACATGAGGGTCAGTGGCAAGAGGGATTGTGGGGCCTCACTCAGTGGCCAAGGGCTGGTTTATCAGACAGTCAGTGTCCAGAGCCCTTGTAGGAACCCTGGAAATCGTTGTCGCAGAGCTAGGAGACATCTGTGGTATTCGCGTGGCCCTTCTTACTACAGCCTCAAAAAACCTCAACTCCCCTGAGAGCAGAGGCACTGCGGGCACCCATTGTACTAGCGGGGAATGGAGGCACAGAGAGGCTAAGTGACTTGCCTCAGGTCGCCCAGGAAGTCTGTGCCAGGATAGGGACTTGAACCCAGGCATCCCAAGGTGCAGGCTAGGGACTTAACGCTGAGTCAGCATGGCAAGGGAAGTCCACACCCCTGGCCCTTAGCCTGCCAACCTAACCCCTGGTTTAGAAGCATTCTTCCATTGACCTAGCTACTGCAGCTGGGGTAGGTGGAGTGCCCAGCCCCATGCAAAACCGTTGCATTAGGCCCTGGGATTACGCCATGAGAGCTATGGTGTCGTACTGTGCCACTATTAGAGATGTTAGATAGCAGGTCATTGAATAGTCGTGTAACCACGTGAATTCTTATCGGTTACACGACTATTCAATAGCTCCCAGAGGTGGGGCCAGAAGCCAGTGTGCTCCAGCCCCACTCCCAGGGAGCCCTCTGCCATCCCACACTGCTGCCTCTGTCTCAGATGCAGAAGTGTGGGGTGCCAGGCTGGATCTGGGCTGCAAGGGGAGCCAGTTTAAAAGCCAGTGCAGGGTGGCAGCAGCCCCTGTCCACGGAGGGTCCGAGCTCCCTGTGGACAGAGGCTGCTGCTGGGGAGGAGAGAGGACGGAGGAGGCTTCATGGCAACCTTCTCTGTCCCCCCGCCCCACTGCTGCCTCGAGGCAGCAGCACAGGGTGGGGGAGGCAGGCAACACCATGGAGAGTGCTGGGGGGAACTTGCTTTTAAGCCAGCTCCCCCCAGCACCAGCTCCCCCTCCCCACCCTTGCTGCTTCTGATACAGAGGCATCAAGGGGGGGGGATGGGTGCAGTCAACAAGATTAACCAATAAGCCCAGGCTTGTCAGTTAATCGTATAGTCGACTACACCATCATCCCTATAGCATAGACAGGGCCTCCACCCTCACCTGTAGCCCAGCCTTCTCCTTTGCAAAGGTCGGTTACGAATGCAGTGGCGAGCGAGGGCGCCCCAGTGAAAACGCTTTCAACCAAACACGCTCGGGCAGGTTCTAGGCCGTGGGGGAAAAGTCTCTGTAGCAGACGCCAAGACGGGTATCTGCTCTAGACTACGGGCCAGATTTACAAAGGGCTTTAGGTGCCTAAAGATGCAGCTAGGCCTCTAGTGGGGGTTTCAAAGACACCTAAGCAGGGTACATGCCTAACTCCCATTGGGCAACCTAACAATGGGAGTTAGGCACGTACCCTGCTTAGACATTTTTTCAAGCGCCACTGGGCGCCTCACTGCATCTTTAGGCACCTAAAGCCCTTTGTAAATCTACCCGAGAGACACAGGAGGCCTGTCCCGGGGACGTGTTCTGCTCCTCCAGCTGCATGCATGGCACAGTCTCTCTGTGCGAACACAGCTGGACTAGCGGCTCGTGAAGCGGGCGTGGCGCGCCATGGGAGGGCAATGCCCATGCACGGGATGGAGCGTACGGTCTGAGGGAGCCTGACGCTGCTCGCCCGTGGCACTAGCAGCCCCTGCCAGCTTCCTCTGCTTGTGGCTGGTTCAGTCTCTACCCCACCAGCCAACAGAGAGGAGCCAGCATAATCATCCCCTAATGAATCCAGGTGCAGAGTCCTGGGAATGGCTGCTTGGGCTACTGCGCTCCCCGAGGGACCCCACCGCAGGGCCTTGTTCCAGGCAGGGCCCAGCAAGGGGGCACCCGTCTGAGAGCGATCAATAATGGGCTCAGAACAGCCTGTGGGGCTTTCGCCTCTAGGGCCTGCAAGAGACCAGCTGCCTCTTGCATTGAGCGAGAGCTACCTCTGCTGGCCGCCCACAGGGTGTCTGACAGGAGAGAATTCAGAACTGCCGTGCAAGGGGAACGGGAGGGTCTCTCCGTCTGTGTCGGTGATTCTGAGAGCTGGGGAGCAGCGTACCCCCAATGCAGGTCCCTAGGCGCTGGGTCACACCGCCTGGCTCTACAAGCCACCCTGCAAGGGAACAGTCTGACCCGGTAGCGGCGCTTCTGGTCGCCCTGTGTCCTTACTGCCGGTCTCTGCCCCCCATCTCAGCTCTCCCTGGAGAGTGCGTGTGTCCCACGGCATCTCTGATAGCCCCTCCCTGCAGGGGGCGCCGTGCTGCTTGTTCTTCACTAGTGTTACACGATATTTCCTGCTGGGGGGCGGGGGGCAGATGTGGAAGTAGGTGGGGGGAAGTCAGCTGGGTTTCACCCCTTCTCCTCTCTTTCAGGGCCTCCCATTATTTCCAGCACTCAGACGCAGCACGCCCTGCACGGGGAGAAGGGACAGATCAAGTGTTTCATCCGCAGCACCCCGCCGCCGGACAGAATCGTGAGTAGGCCCCTCCCCAGGCGCCCGGCCCAACAGAGAGGCCACGGCGGCCGCCCCCGCTTGGTAACAAGGTTAGGCTTGTGGGCCACACTCTGATCCTGTGTGAATTCATTAAAGAAGTCCTGGTGGCATTTGATCACCTTGATAATAAGCAAGCCCCAGGCAGTGACTCTGCAGGTTTGATTGGCTGGGAAATTCACACGGTTTTGCAAAGCCAGGTATCGAGCATTTCTGTGACCGGCAGATGAAAAAGCTGTCGGCTGCTTATGGAAAAAGGCTCTGTCTGAGCCTCCCATGCTCTTGTTCAACTGGGCTGCGCCTTCTTTGAGTGTGCTCCAGATCTCAGGAAGAGAGCTCTGTCTAGCCCGAAAGCTCCAATGGGAGCTGGTCCAATGAAGATGTCCCCTCTCCCACCCCTTTGTCTCTCTAACACTAAACCCAGTGTTATGTTGCCGAAGAAAACCCCTGAGATCACAGCACCCAGGCCACCTCCCTCCCACGGAATAGCGCACACACCAGCATCAACCTCTCTGCACACTTCCACGCGGCTCCCTGGAGCTGGCCAAAGACCAGCAACACCATGTAAATCCCAAGAGGCTGTTTGCTGGGACCACGCCCTCGCAGTTTGTGGGTGGGATGAAGGCTGCTCTTCGCCGAAATACCCACAGCCACATGTGCTGAAAGGGACCGATGCAACGGTGAGCAACACTGTTAACTAGTCAGTGCTGGCTACTCACCAGGCTGATTCGGCTGGTTTTAAAACTGCCAGTCATTTAACAACCAGGTGACTGAGGGGAGCAATTGGGGGAGATTGACCGTGTGACTCGGGTGCACTCACACCTGGCGAATGACTCGAATGAAATTTGCAGCCACTCTGTCACAAATTGGGATGTAAACAGACTGGCCTCCTGGGTGGAGCAGAGGCAGTCCGGTCTAGTGGCTGGAGTGGGAGTCAATGGCTTCCTGGCCATTGCGACGAGGAGTCCTGTGGCACCTTATAGACTAACTGAAGTAGTCTATAAGGTGCCACAGGACTCCTCGTCGCAATGGCCAGGAAGAGTACTGAAGATCAGAGAAGGAGGGAGCAGGAGTCAGAGCCAAAGGTCAGAAGCGGAGGCAGGAACAAGGCAGCTGGACTGGGCAGAACAGGAGCAAGGCTGGAAAAGGGCAGGCACAGGAGAGGTTGCAGCTGTGGGCGTGTGTGTTGAGCAGCCAGAGACCAGTGGTTGCTGTTGGGCTTAAGAGCAGACTTACTGACTTCCTCGGCCCGTCAGGTGGCCTGTCCGTGCTGATAGGCTCGCCGGAGACTGGTCCAGCCGTGCTACCGCTCCTCACTCCAGGCACCCCAGTCGCTGACATTTGCTCACATAAACCAATTGGCAGACATCAGGATGGGATCATCTCCGGTTGTGACCAAACCCTGTAAGCTGGCCAGAGAAGAAAGGCTGGTGCGTGGTGGGACAGTGAGAGGCACGAAAGGTATCAGGTAGCCAGCTGCAGTGCAGGGGGCCTGGCTGAGAATCCTCCGTAGAGAGAAGTGCCTGACTCTGGCCTCTTGTCCCAACACCGAAGGCCCAGACCAGTGGAGTTAGGCATCCACATATTGTGGATATCTACTCGGCGCTGAATCGGTCTCAGCTGGAGCATTGTGTCCAGTTCAGGGCACCACATGTCAAGAAAGAGGCGGAGAAATCGGAGAAGGACCAGAGAAGAGCAATAGGAGCTAAGAGCTATGAGGGAAGACTGAAGGAACTGGGCTTGTTTAGTTTGGAAAAGAAAGACTGAGAAGGGACATAAAAACTTTCAAGGACCTAACAGGAGGAGGGGAAAAAATTGTTCTCCTTAACCTGTGATGATATCACAAGAAGCAATGGGCTTAAATTGCCGCAAGGGAGGTTTAGGTTGGACATTAGGAAAAAGTTCCTACCTGTCAGGGTGGTTAAACACTGGAATAAATTGCCCAGGGAGGTTGTGGAACCCTCCAATATTGGAGATACTTAAGAGCGAGTTAGACAAACATCTATCAGGGATGATCTAGACGGTGCTTGGTCCTGCCATGAAGGCCGGGGACTGGACTTGATGACCCCTCAAGGTTCCTTCCAGTTGTAGTGTTCTATGATTCTGTGAATCTGGACCCTGAGTCCCACAGCTTTCCTCTGCATTTCACTCCTGACTGTCCTGGCAGCTCCCGCTCAGCATGCTGGCTTCAGGGAATCCTTTTCTTAGGGCACCTAACTTGCCCACCCCCCATGCATGCAGCACCGGGGCATCTGACTCCAAGCTGTGATGTCCACTGCATAGCAGGGCATTTAAATCCTTGTGTGAATCTAGCCCTTTGCCTCCCTGCACGTGGGGATCTCCACCCTGCCTCGCCATACGGGGCGCTGTACAAGCTCTGCCTCCTGCAGTGCAGCTAAAGTCCTAGCAGCGAACATTTTGACCAGCTCTTTCATCACACTCCCATCCCAGCGCAGACTGCCCCCACCGC